AAGAATAGCATATAGGTTGCCCGTGTGCTCAAGAACGCAACCGAAACGTATGAGAAGCATAAATTAGATGTAGGTTGAAGCATGCACTAGCATATAAAAAGTTTTGAAACCTACAGAATTCAGGACCCACATGAAGTGATATTCGATATGATCCAACTGAACGAATTCATAGATAGACAAGTTGCTGATTCAAATCCTAAGGTGAGTTACATCAGCAAGCGACCCGTAAAAATTATTAATTTGTTCTACCGTTAGACTATTATCAATGGGAGGTTATAAATTGCTTAACTATTCGCGCATGGTATGAAATTATTAACAACTTTCTTCTGTCCGTACCATCGTATGTTTGATATCGTGAAATTGAGTATGTGAAATTTTTGATTGGATATTGGTAATTTTTTTGATAATGTGATTTCATGTTTGCATCTTACTCCTTTGCAGTTTGCCAAAAAAACGAAATACCAATCGATGGTTTATATCCAGACGGCAACAAAATTTGCACCACCCTAACCGTTATTCTCCTTACACTAAAGTTGTTTAGCATTTCGTTTCGTTTTCAGCTTAAAGAGTTGTCCCAACTGCATCTATGTTCGAACGCTCGTCCTTCATGAAATCAGGCAGATCCAAGAAAAGAGCAAAACATACGACAGGCCCCTTAGATATTCTCCAACTAGAAAACATAAAATTCAATACTGCAACTCCAAATTCCAATAAAATATGAGTAATGAAAAAAGGGAAAACGGTGATGATTTTCGCTACACGCAAAAAGGCGTGGTAGTATGCCGACGATGACGACGGTTCATAATTTCGCAGTGCTGTTTATGCTTTAGAAAAAAAAGTAGATTCAAGGAAAAGCTTGAATGCAGCAGGAAACTTTGATGGAAACCTAGCGTATAATAGTCGTTTTCTTATAGATAAAGAAGTTTTTTGAACAAGCAATTAAAGATTGGGACAAAGACTTACACGAGGAAGCGGAACGTGCCAAGGTACGTGCTATTTTTCTAATTTTTAGCAATCTCTATTGCACTTACATACTTAGGTACAAAAACTAATCAATAGCCTTGGTGAGAGTGAAAAAAACGAAATCAGAAAGATTCGAAAAGATTACGATGTAAGAATGTTATTATCATTAATTGTGATGGCACTATTGTTAACTTGTTGGTTAATTAATGATCTTTTTCAATTTAGAAAGAAGCGAAGAAACTTGGCTTGGACCACTTAATCCAGTCTAAGGAATAGGCGAAAGAAAGGATCATGGATCATTCGATAATAAAAACTTTTTACATGACAACTTCCTCTTCTAGTTTTCTGATCATTTTTCAATAAAGTTATGTTATTGCAACATCTTCTGAAAACTTGTTTTGACACAGCACAGTCACAACAGTCGTAATTTTTTGACGTCGCGTTTAGGTAGCACTAAGTGAAATTACGTGACTGCCGTCATATTTATTTACATATCGATTACTCTAATCGTTCTAGGTTTTCTGGTTGGTATAGAGATATAAGGCATATAATTAGTCTTAACTTGACTTGTGGGAGAAGCGACCGAAGGGATAGAGAAAATTCTGCGTTGACTTTTTACTATTGCGCTACTTATCAATTGAAGGAAGAGCGAGATGTGCGAAATGCGAGTTGCTTTTGGAGTGCCTTAGGGTCTTTTTGAAGTAACACAAAAAGAACCATCGTGGGAATCATAGGTAGGCACGTTCGCTGCGACTTTGTCACCTTTATAATGAGAGCATGCAGTTTTCATTTATGAAGGGTGTGCTCCGGCGGATACCCTCTGCCGTACATCCGTTCGCGCGCGCTCATTTGCCTATGAGCTGTAAGCCGTTTAGACTTGAGCCGAACAAAAATTATGATGTTCCGTCTAAATTAGTGTGCTTTTCCCCAATCTCCTTCTTATTTTACCATTTTCTTTTTGATATCAGGTGTTGCGAGCAGAAGAGTGAGATGAAAATTCCCTACTTCACCGTCAATTATTTATTTGAAGCGTTTTTTTTCCTACATTCAAACCAACTCAATAAGTGTTTGAGATGAGATGACTAGCACTAGTCCCGCGCAAGCATGCATCAATGTAGAATTTAGTTGCATGAATATAGATGTGCGTGCACGTGTAGACATCGTGAAGGCAAACTTTTGAAAGAAAAAGCAGAAGGGGCTGATCTAGAACTCAAATCAATTTAAAAACATGAGGGGGCAATGAAATATGTGATTTAAGAGAGTAAAACACCCACAACTGAATTTCAATCAACAATGTTAAAACAACAGTCTATAAGCTGAATTCGTTCAGGAAGAAAAAACGCTTCAAATGAATGAGATATAATCAAACTTACGAC